TTGTAAAAGGCTTTATCCCACAAGGCAGACAGGTAAAAATGCGCGTTGCCTCAACGTGTTAACTGACTAGCTGAAGCTTTGGATATCATTTAACACGCACTGAACCCGAAGAATAGGAATGGTAAAAGGAGTATTCTTTTGTGACAATTCGACGAAAGCGTGGAAATTTTGGATCGTACGCGTAAGAGCATGTAGATTTGAATGAGGAAAACGTCAAGAAAACGATGAAAGCGATGAGGCAGCGAGCATTCGAGAGAGGCAAAAGGCGTTTCGTCAACAGGCACACAGTTGTCGTGAGTGTGCTGCATTACATCGCCAACGCCATCGTCGTTTTGCTGGCCGGCTTCGGCTCCAAACGCAGATAGCGGTCAGCGATTGCGATATCGCACCGCGATATTGCACAAATCGCGCACATATCAGTTCGGGTAGTGATCGCGCACCGCTACACGGCTGCGAGCAGCTCGGAAACGAAATGAGCAGGAAGCGGATCTGCACAAAAAGCGCAGGATAAACCCTCGACTTCGAGCAGAACAAGAGCAGTGGCGCAATGTCGTCTGCTGTAGACTCCTCACTTCACATCGCTGAGATTTTCTCCTTTTGACATTTGTTCCTTCGAAAGGTCTATCGTTCTCACAACGTGTTCAGTGCCAAGCATGTGGCAAGAATCATGAGAAATGTGAAAATCCATATGGTCAGAATTTTTGAAGCATTGGCACAACAAAATGTAGACATTGGTGGAGAAGAGTGCAAAAATTCTAGTGGAAAGCGATAGAACACTTCTGAAAGAAGACAAGAATGAAAAGTGGTAAAAGCCGGATTTCAAGCAAGCTAATTCAAAAAAGTTCTTGTCCTTTAACACCTTTGGCGTAAGTTGACAAGCTCGAAGAAAAATTCCAGCAAAGCTAGGGTACGGCAAAGATCGTTCGAAAGCAGGCTGGGCTTCATTTTCGGGGTGAAAAAGCGAAAGGGATATCGTTTTTGTGGGTTCGAGAGAATACAAGTTTTTGTAAGCCCGAGAAAACACAAGTTAGGTTAAGTGTTTTGAGTAAACGTATCCGAAAAAGGTCAACGGGGACTCTGTAAAATTTTGCGAAAGTCGGGGACTTCCTAATCAAATAGCCCGGACTTATGCCGGACCCTGAGCAAAGCTTCAAGCATTTTCAGACATATCTTCAACATTCACTTTTTGAAAAAATGCATGAGCTCACTATACTCTTTGTTAAAAAGGATTTCTAAATGGAGATTTGAAAAAGCTCAAAGCACATAGAATTTTTTGCAACCATTTGTCTACAAAACAATTATCGAGCTAGACGGACAGTTTGATGAGTGCTCAAGGAAGTGCAGCATTTGCCGATACTGTGTAAACATTTTATCCGTTTCCAATGAATGGAATAATTTCAGTAGATGTGTAGAAGTTCACGAAGCACATTCTCATGAAGAAATTGCTTGGATTAGTTTAGTTGGCAGTAAAGCAGAGGTTGAAAATTGCATGGAGCAGGTCGCGAACAGAAAAGAGATGAAATTGAGGAACGAAATTTCTCCTCATAATCCACAATTATTAGCATTAGCATTAGTATTACGGTTATCATATCCTATTTGAGCTAATCTTTGTTGGTGTAATAAAAACAGAGCACTTTTTTCAGAACACAAGGATTGGTAGCAGTTATGTAACACTGGATCGTTAGAAGTTCCCACAACAGAGTGAAAATCATTTATCAGAGAATCTTTTGGTACATTGTTTACATTTGTGTACCAAACCCTGTTGATAAGCGGTATTGATAAAACTCTCAAGCCATAAAAGGATCAAAAAGTTTCTGCCTTTTTTCCTACTTCATAATCTTTCAGTTGATAATCATATTACTCAGGTTCACATTCTGATCTTTACCTCACGTACTAGTTACTTACAACGCGTATCAATAAAGATAAAATAAAATCAGTAACGTTGACCAAACAAACTATCGCACTTCACCAGGCCAAACATTGGGCTTCAGAAGCTATAATTTAAACTATCTCCACTACTCTTCAATGAATATACTTGAAGAAGATATAGAGAGCGAAGGAGGATATCATCGCGATTCATGAAGAATGGCAGAAAATCCAGGTGACAGCTGCATCCGGCTGAGATAAAACCAAAGGCATGGAATGCGGTGGCACCGCATATGTTCGCACAAAGTACTTCTACTAGGGGTTTGTAGCTCAAAATCGAGTGGCATTTACTAGACGATCGTTCGAAAGCGCTTCTCGACTTGCTGGCCTGGAAATTCGCGAACAAAGCATTTTCTGTGTAGTAAACCGGGCTGTTCGGGTTTGACTCTTCGCCTCTTCCCCCCCCCCCCCTCCCCTCGTACATCGGAATGAGGAATGACGGATAGAGAAGAGCAAGAGCAGTGTAGGCGAGGTAAGCGCAATAACAGATCCATGCGTCAAACGCGTCAGAGCAGCCATCATCGGCGCACGTTTCGGCCCTCCAACTACCTCATGTCAGCTCTCGACGTTCCTGTGTTATACACACACTCACAGTCCTCGACTAGAGCAGAGCAGCTAGCAGTAATCCTTGTCAGACCCAATCTCTGACCTGTTGACGTGGGTTATTTCCGGATTTTTTCCGAGTTCCGCCAACAAATGAGCTGATTCGGCTACATCACCACCACCCTTCCGCAACCGCGCTTAAAAAACAATAGCATTCGCAAAAAGTACAGAAATTCTACGTCATCACCCGGACTTGCTAGAGTTCAAGATTTGCTCAAGCTCTCCATAAGTTGTCTGACTTGCGCCTGAACCAAAAAAAAACAGGTTTAGCAGCTCTTTACAATGAACGTTTTGTCTAATCTTTCGATAGGCCAGCTTCGTTTGCACTTCAGAGAACAGGTTGCACTTAAGATCCCGAAGTCAAGGGGAGAACTGTCCAACAATCCAGCTAATTACACAATGCACATTCAACCATTTGCAGAATGCTCGATGCAATCCGAGTTGATTAAGAAACTTTAGGGAACACATTGTCCTCATAGCATCTTGGGGGTTCCTTACCGCTTAAGATTAGCAATCTTCTATAGAAGTTGTACCAACAGGAGAGACAATTTTTTCAAAATTCCCCAACAAGCTCCCAAAGACTGATAAACTAAGGCTCAAGAGCGAAATTTAAACATAGAGGGAATGAATTCAGACTTCCAGATAAATAAGACTTTGCACGTTGACCGACAAATTTGCCCAAGATCACATCCGGTTATATAGGGTGTCCCAAAAGTATGTTTAAACTGTTTGATCGTTTATATCTCTGCTTTGAAGAAGTCTTTTGCCTAGTTCCAGGTACCATTTTGTAGAGTTGGCTTCAACTTGAATTTACGTTAACGAGCGAATCAGTGATCACTCTTCATCAATGTAGGGTTGCGGTAGGAACTTATGTAAAGAAGGGTTGTGAGCAACTGACAGCCCTATCTCGCCTCAAAAGTAAACCAAACAATCGGATAACTCTTACACTAGGCTAAATAAGAGCTTCTAGAACTAAATATAAGCTTTGCACTTTACCGCAAGGCTTCCATCATAAGTTATGCCAAGTAAACTGCAATAGCTTTCAAAATGTCCCTTGAAATTGCGATACCATTCAAAAAGCCTTAGAAATTTAAAAGGTTAAATGATGAAAACAGCGCGCGTAAAAACTCTGGTACACCACTTTCCAGATTTTTTGCTTTGTAACACGACCAATCCACAAAGACGATGTAAGCTGAGAGGTGCCAGCTCAACAAAATGACATTTGAAGGTAGGGAAAAGTCCCCTTAGGAAGAGAGAGATATTAACGATCAAACAATGTATACATATTTTTGGGACATCCTGTATAGGCAGTCCCAAAAAATGTGCAGTGTGCGTGTTTGCCAAATCTCTTAAGACAAAAGCTCTCACAAAACTTTAAACACTCAAGTTGAATTTAAATTAAGGAAATTGACAGGTTTGTTTTGAAGGTTTCTCAAAATGGCAGCTGACTTGCAATAAAGCCTTGTGCTGAAAGTCCCCACCGTAATCGTATAGTAATGAAGAGCAACTCCTTGATCAGATTTTACTGCAAATCTAACCTAGTTTCTCAAGGCAGATCCACAAGTTTCGTAAATGATGTGTGAACAGAAAATTGCTAAGGATCCACACAATTTCTGAAACACGTAATTCAAGCGATATCGAGAATCAGAAATTCTACTTACAAGGTTCATAAATTAGATTAGCTTTGCAAGAGAAACGGAAGGGCAGTGTGCATATCTGAGAACGAAAGAACTGCACATAAAAGACCTTGCAAAAGATTGACGTTGGACAGGGCCGTGATAAAAGAAAATCTGGACTAGAAAGAATGACATGTACAAAGTAACAATGTGCAAGCACTTGGGAACACATGTGGATACAGGAAGTGTTAGGAGGAGGAAGTTCAGAGACTGTAGGAAAAAACGTAAGTGGGCAGTATCAGATTACTCATCGTTCGATATATCTCAAAAGCAAGCATCAGACAATAGGATCAAAAAATTAACCAAATTGTGAAGTTATTTGCCATACATTAGAAGGATGACTTTTGGCTAATCATTTCGATCTATTTAAGAACGACGCGATCTGGTTTACCTCAGATCTTCTAAAGGAGATGAGATACAAAATTTCTAAATCAAAATCCACAGCAGAAGGGTAGGTTTATGAAGAAGAAAAAATATGACTTTCGAAAGACAATTTATGCGATCAGATAAGCTCGTTCGACAATAATTCATTATAGCTATACGAACTGCATAGACAATAACTATCTGAAGAGAAGGATAAGCGATTGATGGCGAATGACTATGTGGTTTCATAATCACCTCCAGCTGAGAAAGCTATTCATATAAAAAGATGAGCACCTGGGCATATGGCACGTTTTAGGATAGAAAATATAGCTTCTCAAAGATTCAAGAATAACAAAAATAATGAGCAAAGTGCAAGAGCTCTTCTTGCTATAGGAAAAAAAACTGAAGAAAACTCAAATGATAGTCACTCACCACGTCTTGTTGGCTGTCCAGTGGATGGTAAGCCTGGAAAGATCCAGATTTCATTTAGCAAAACAAAGGAGATAAAATAAAATGGGAGGACTGAAAAAGTGAGATGAGATAATATGTATTTTTTTCATTTGTCTGCTGCATGATGAGTGACATTGTACAGCCTGATTTTCCAAGAAGAAGCTTTCATAGATGTCAAAAAAGTTGGGCAACTTCTATTTGTTGCGATGAGAGCAATATAAAAAGAACGATAAAGAGTGCGCTTAGCACAAAAGGTTCTTAAAGTAGATAATAATTAGAAATTCAAAAAACCTGACAGTTTTGCCAAGTCGATCAACAGAGAGATACCTCTGAAAACTACTTTCTTACAGATTTCGAAAAACTAAGAGTGTGATCCGAGTTTTTCTTAACCAAGCTTAAGTTGCTGAGTAAGCTGTACTGAATTAGCTGAGATGAGGGATGAATAAAATTTGGACCAAAAGAATGGAATATCTGTGCGAAACTACTATATGTCCCGTTCAAAAAATAAGAATAATAATTATAAAAAATAGAAAGTCAACAAACAGGACTTTATCTAATGTAAGAATTACCATCGCTTGATCCTGGTGTTTCCGGATTTTTCGGAGCAGTAGTGCGAGGCAGGATCGGTCGAGGTCCTTTGCTAGTGCTCGGTGCAGGACTCATCTGAATTTCATAACTATTGACTTTCAAACCATTTTTCATATAAGTAGCCCAGGCCAAAGCCTACGTAAAACTGGCTGCAGTCCCCATCTTAAGTTTTGAAAGAAGTCAGGGGTATACAAAGATCTTTCTTTCAAATGTACGAAAATGGATGCAGAAGAACGCATATTGGGCATGTTGTTCAGAAATTTTCGCCCATCACAAGAAAATTGCAGCTCAAATTTCAGCTTTTGAATCTAGTGTCATTTGAGTCAAACTTTACTCAGATGACAACAGAACTGAAAGTGTAGAACCCACCATAGATGACATTGCCGCAATTTTCACATCTCGAACCGGAACGAGAATAAGCGGTTGCCTCGGAAGAACGGAAAGTTCTTGGGGTGGTTCAGCACGACAAACCACCGTTTGCATTAGAGCCCTGGACTGCTGACCTCTATGTGTTCAAAAATTTTATTCTTCCTGAAAATGAGGGTAGGTAAAACGATACTGCGAAAAAAGAAAAATATAGAAGATGTAGATAACGTGCGCCAAATCGATGAAATTTCAAAAGCTGAAGAAGTCAAGTTTACCCTGGAAGTCAAAGCAGAAACTCAAATAATAGAGCACAGAGAGCATAGCAAATCAAGCCCGTTGTTATGTGATGACGAAAATTTCTAACAAGCAAAATGATGAGATGGCAAGCATCGATTTTGAATATGGTACGTGAAAATCATCCCGGTCCAAACAGATCATGCCCTCGTAAGGTTTGGAACTTAATTTGGAACACTTTACAGCGTCCTTTAGGTAAAATTACTGGTAAATATATGCAAACTCTATTTATTTATAGCGAAAATAGTTATGTTGCAGAGGGTCAGTGGAAACGATCAGAAATCATGAGAAACTATCAGATTCCAGAAAAAGCCAATGATTTTCAGGATAGGTTATAGTGGACCACAAAATGAATTATTATGGTCAACTCAAGATTTTTATTGCAAAAAGCTAGGGATTACCCAGATCCAGCCTCTGGGTAATTCCTTGCGATGCTCTTGAAGATTGGCTTTTGCTGAATTCTTTACCAAGAACACTGCCAACATGGACCAAACGATCCACCGGTGGATCATAAAGTTGACGCATAACTGTGTATACAACTGTAATGGCAAACTTCTAGAACCAAACTACACGATATTGAGCCAGGACAGAAGAAGAAAATCGTACGACCCATATAATATTTTTTAACGAAATACAAAAGAGCTGCAGTAAATGAAAATAAAGAAAGTCAAATTACAGGTGAAAAGATCACAACAGAAGAGCTGGAATAGAACATTGTTTGCGCGACAGCTTAACGTTCAAGGGACAAAACGAGCTCGACTAGTGGTTTGATGGAAGAGCAGCAATGAATAAGAATGAGAAAAACAAAGAAGATATAAAGGTTACTGTCAAATCTAGAAAGAAAACTTATTGAATTACTTCCAAGAGGTGCAAATTTCATAAAACAAAGACAATGTTTTTCATGCCAGGACAGTTATTTCGGATAATGCACGGACAAATTCAGCCTCATTTCAGCACCCTCACTTGGGTGAGTCATCCTTCGATTGAAAACTTATTTCACTTAATTCTGATTGTTGGTAGATTATTGATTCTTGTCCAGACAAGAATTAGATGAAAGGGAGTGAAATACAAAGTCAAGAAGAATCAGAAAATTTCGATTGTTCTGCTCAAAGTATGGAAGTGAAGAATGCTAGTAAATAAAATATTGAAAGCAGATTTTCATCGTTGAATTCCGAAGGTCAAGGAAAATTATGATGTTCTCGCAATGCTTCACAACCGAGCGATTAGTTTATAATGACGAAACAAAACATAGAAAAGCGATTGCACGCGGATAGAATAATAAAGCTACATACAATAGAGCTTTTGTAAAAAAAACTCGTTAATGGACAGCTGAAACAAAGTTATCGCAATAAAAGAAGTTAGGGACTAGTGAATTGATAAGTGGGAAAGAACGCCTTTGGGCCGGAACTAAAATCCCGCCAGTTCGGAATAGCACAAGATACTTGAAGAAGTGTGCAAGAAGACATGAAACATCTTGATGTACAAAGGCACAAGCTATTCCCAATAGTAATTACGTAATTACGTGAATAGAAACTGCGAAAATAATTACTATCACCTTACCTTTTCTAAATAAATCTTTCCGCTAACTTTAATCTATGAAATCAAATTTGAGGCTTGAGTCGTGGGCATGAATTTGCATTCTCGTGCTTATTCTGTTACTGCAACTATGGTAATTGCAGTACCAACGGGTACTAAGGTTTTTAGACAATTGAAAAATTCAAAATACAGCCTTGAAAATAATTTCCAATCAATTTTTCAAACCCCTTGATAGAAAATCAAGCATACTGACTTATACTAAAGGAATTGCCTTATAACTTCATAAAGGTCAAATATAACCAGTTAGTTCGGGGAAATTTTTAAGATGGTTTGGTCAATGTGTTTAGGTATAGTAGTGCTATACACTGGTATTGAAAATAGTCCTATTAATTTCTTCTAACGAGCTTTCTTATTCATAGTGTCAAGGTGCTCATTGTTTAGTCTTGTTTTCAGTTTATTGCACACCACATGTATTAAAATAAACAAATTTCTGTAGATCTTAGTCTAATGATTTGGCCACAAGCGTGATCCAAGATTAGCAATACTAGCATATCCTCCATGAATAACACACCAAGCTAATCTTAATTGCAGCAGGATATGGAAAAAATTGTGTATTAATTGTTAGAAGAATAGGCAGAAACACGATGTAATTGGAAATAATTGGGCTTGAAGAAAATTCCTGAAAGTGACGAGATTTGGATACTGCAGGAATCAAATCAAGCCGATGACAGATATGCAGCTCGCATACAAAGACTATAGAAAAAAAGCAGAATCAAACAATTTAGAGCAGTAATCACAAACACTCTTTAAAATTCAAATTTTCTGAATATCTTTTTTTCCTCACAAAGGTTGGTAACCGTCAATGCTGATTTCGCAAGGAATGACGGCTGCGGTCCGGAAAATCGACTCCCTGAGGAAACAAATGAGGCCATGCGTGGCTCAAGGTCACTAAACGAAGCCGAGGTGATATTCGTGAACAACAAATGGATGTTCTGTCAGTGTGGCACAGATATTGAAGGGCTTGGAGCCATAAAAAAATTTGAGAAAAATATGCGTCGCATAATTGCAGTAGATCGATTTATGTCATTTGAAACGCATCGAAGTAATTTTTTTTCTGAAATAAGATTTTTCTTCCTAGTAATAGGATGAGTTCAAGTGTAACGGATGTCAAGGTGGAACTTTAGGTTTTATGAAAAATACATGGGAAACCAAAAATATGCTCTTCTTTAAAGTAACAAGTGAGAATTTTGATACATGAGCTCAGCAACCAAAATAAAAAAAGGAAGAATTTGTTTTTCTCGTAGTCTGGGCCTCAAATGTCTATTACCATCGAGTTGAGGATAGTAAAAAAATAAAATCTGTGAACAATGACTATTCATGTGAACCGTGAAGGGAAATATTTGATAAATGAGTCATAGGAGGAATCACGAGGTGACTAGTACAATGATTACTAACAACATCCAATAAAGAAAGTAAAAATCAATATAAGACAGGTTTGAAGAAGCTTATTGATTAAGAAGACGATGCTAGAAAAAACGCGAACGCATTCACGGCTTAATTACTCGAAAAATATGGCAAAAATGGCGCGCGCGACGTTCAGAATGTGCTAGGCGAGTCGCGCAGTAACTCGCGACGTGGATCCCGAGATGAAAATGAGAGTTTCCGGGTCGTAACGTATCCATAAAAAACGCCGACACGGTTTGCTGAGGATGCAGATAGCACACGGCGATATCGATCGCCGCCACTACCCGAATAAGGCAGTGCTGGTGGCCGACACGCGGGGGGCGGGTCGCAATTTTTTTACCACCCTGCACCTCATTTTTCACTCGATCCCGGTTTGAATAGACGGATGGGAGGTTACGGGAGGTTACGAGGGGGGGGGGAATATTACGTATCCCGTAGTAAAGAATCGATGCGAGGGCATTGGCAATGTGATATAGTTGTCTCATTTTGCTACGTGGTATGGTTCTAACTGTAGAGGATGAAGAAATTATGAATCTGAAGGTGTTCTCTAGGCTGAGACAGTCGGAGAAAATGTTATAAAAATTTTGTAAAATTTTTTTACCTGCTTAGCACATTCAAGACTTTTTGAGAAAAGTGACAAATCTTTTAATGTCTTGCACAAAATTGTTTGGCATCTACGTAGATTCAGAGGTATTTTTTGAGCTCTAGTCGCGAAAAAATCATTCTGAATCTATGACAAAAGTTATTTGAATGTCTAGACTTTTACAGCTTTGCACAGAACCACTTTTCGAGGAAATCTACAAATTTAAAGGTATTTTTAGGACTGAAATATTTAGAGGAAAATCTTACTGAATCTACTCAAAACTCTTATTGTTAGATTATTTGAAGGACAGAATTTCTACAGCATTGCATAGAACTGTGTGGTATCCAGAAGACAGTAGAGCATCATCTTCTCAACTATTTCCATTCATGATCCGAAACTTTTCAAACATTCTCTTGACATAGATACTGCAGCAAACAATGTTAGACAAACAATTTCTATTTCTAGTGAAGAAAGGATCCAAAATAAATTTCCTTCTAAATCTTTCATTTAGAGCATCTAGAGTTGTCGAAATTATTCTGTGTGAAAATCTTCTCAACACTTCTTTCGAGTTTGGACTTTTTCGTTCTTTTTGATATTTGACTTAGGCGCATGTGATGTAAATACTTGGGGAATGTTATTGTTAGGATGACTCACATGTAAACGAAAGGAATTACCACATTTCAATAATGGTGATTCTATACTTGAAGAAAGGCATACATTAAACCGGCATTTTTATTGGTGCACTGATGTCATTAAGGAGCTTAAGCGCAACTTTTTCAACATTTCTATTCGCTTAGATTTCGTGATAATCAACCTACGTTCTTTCTCTCACAGAAAACAAGCAAAATCAGATTGTATTACAACGCCACAGGATGATTCAACACTGTAGTCTATTTATTCGACCACAGAAGATTAGCAGAAACTAATGAGTTCAGCCATATTTGGACATCTTGAGTTGTATTATGTCGTTCCGAAAGTGAAGTGGGTTTTTTTGGAATGAAAGCCACATCTCGTGGAACCAACATTTGTGAGAGATCTTAAAAGTGCTCGATACAGCATTTTATCCTCTTTCTGAAGGTCACAATTGCATTGCGTAATTTCTAATGAGCTCTTAAAAATGACCAAAATCTGCGACCCATTCCCTTCAAGATGGTCAAGTTTCATGATTACTCCAAATTACAAAGTGCCCTCCGAAGGAGTTCAAGAAGAATGGATAGAGCAAGCCCTACGGGATACAAAGCAAATTATGACGAGCTATGGAGACTATTTCTATCCTTTCCATAGCTCGTCATAA